TATCCTCAGTTACCACAGTCATGGCCAAATAAGCTAACAGCTATTTAGTGCACCAGTCTTAATGCAGGCATACCTTCTTGGCACTCAAGACGTTTGGGCCCAGTTTGCCTTGACATGATTAGATATCAGCCAGTATGAGTGGGTTAAAGTCTTGCAAACATTAGGTCCTCAGTTCGATGGCAAACAGCAAAAGCACACCTGAAAAGCATGTAGATTTTCATTGGGATATAGAATATTGCCATTCCCCTTCTCATTATTATATCATTACTGTCAGAAAAAAAATTGCCTGCATTACAGTATGGCACTTTTAGTACCAGATTATGTCATGCGTATATGTAACTGAGACTCAAATTTCACTCCACAGCATCCTACTCGACAAGAGGTTCAGGAGTGAGTGCAGCCTTCACAACATGAGAATCCATTACCCACCAGCAAATCGGTAAGTCTGTGGTTATCTCTCTCTCTCTCTCTCTCTTTCTCTCTCTCTCTTTCTCTCTCTCTCTCTCTCTCTCTTCTCTCTCTCTCTCTCTCTTTCTCTCTCTTTCTCTCTCTTTCTCTCTCTCTTTCTCTCTCTTTCTCTCTCTCTTTTCTCCTCTCCCTCCCTCTTTCCCTCTCCCTCTTTTTCTCTCTCTCTCTCTCTCTCTCTCTCTCTCTCTCTTCTCTCTCTCTCTCTCTCTCTCTCTCTCTCTCTCTCTCTCTCTCTCTCTCTCTCTCTCTCTCTCTCTCTCTCTCTCTCCCCTCTCTCTCTCTCCCTCTCTCTCTCCTCTCTCCCCCTCTCTCCCCTCTCTCTCCCTCTCTCTCCCTCTCCCTCCCTCTCTCTCTCTCTCTCTCTCTCTCTTTCTCTCTTTCTCTCTCTTTCTCTCTTTCTCTCTCTCTCTCCCTGTCTCCCTCTCTCTCCCTCTCTCTCTCCTTTCACCCCAGCCTTCAGCTGAAAAGTTCACGACATCACCCTAGCTCACTGCCAAATTTTCCCATGACAGCAAATTCACTCAAGCCAGACTTTTCATGATGTGCTAGTCACACTATCCAGATCATAGGTGTTAAAATATTTTTGATATTTATTACCATTTCTTGTGGGAAACTCACCTCATGGTAGAAGCATGGAAATTGCATTCCTTTCCTTACCAGTAAATTTCATCAGAAATACTTTGTCGGAAAGGGGTTTTATTTAGCCAGAAGTGGGCACCTTCCCTTCCTTCCATAGCATTTCCTCGCCAATTTCTGCCAGGAGCAATTCACCATCCCCCTGGAACGTGTGGTACTTTATCTTCTTGATTATCCTGGTTCTTCTTTTCCTTCTTCTTCCATGCCTTTCTGTATCTCTTCTTCTCTTGCCATTTTTACTTCTTTTTCCCTGAGATTTGACTTTGTTTTGAGGGAAGCAGTCGTGGCAGGTGAGACTGCAGCCTGTTGAGTGGCTGGCATTAGTGAGGCAGTCACATTTTTATTTCTTTGTGTCCCCAATGGTTTTCTGGAACAATTCCCTCATATGTTTCATATATTGATGTCTTATCCTCTTGAGAGACATGGTTCAGTATGGTAAGAATCCTCAAAAAAATTCAAATTTCTCTACTGTCCACACACTGCTGAAATTTGTTTATTCAGAGCTTGGAGTTGTCAGAATACTCCATTTTACAGCACCGCTCAAATCAAAGCATAATACCCTATACATAGCCTGGCTTACAGCCAATGGAGTAATAGTGGGCTTCTCTCATCCCTTTAAATCCCTTTAAATGGGCATGTGAGTGGCTCATTACTCAAAGATTTTTAAACTCCCTAGGGATCAGTCATCCACTTATATAGTAGATTGAAAAATATGATATGATGACAGTTGGCAAGATAAATTTCTTTCTACAATGTCAGTTTTTGGTGGGGAGATGGATATTTAACCCCTTCACGACGGGTGATGCCACTAGGTGTGAAAACAAACCACTCGAAAAGTGGTGTGCGACTGTACACTGTGGCGGCGCGCCAAAGCGCGGCGAGCCAGTGATTCAGCCTCATGCGCACAAAGCCATGGTTTGCCAGAGCGTAGAGTACCCTTGCTTATAGAGGAGTTGCTCAGAACTCTTGATAATTTGGATATGTCTCATCTTCCTTGCAGGTATGACACCTTACTGAAGCAGCGTCATGTGCAACTTCTTGGCCGCAGTATTGACCTCAATAAGCTCATCTGTCAGCGCATAAATTCATCCATGCACAAATCCCTTGAAGTGGCTATTGCTCGGTTTGAGGGAGCAGATATCACATCTGTTGTGGTAAGGAAACTTTGGTTATTGTTTGAAATATCTATTCATGTTGTTTTTCTCAGGAAGTTTATGGAGAAAAATTTTTATCAGTGTATCAGTGGAAAAAAGTATTACACCTTGAAAACAGTGGTAGAATGTACTGTATATGAATTCTTCTAAAGCTATATTATAATTTTCATTAGTTCAGATCAGTATGGGAATTACCTGTTTATAGTGTTAGTAATTTCACCAAACTATGTTAATCTTTTGAA